AAAATACTGAAATGTTGCCACTGTGTTGTGATAAAATTGCACAGGAGGATAGCCTAGAAGCTGTCACAGCCAGTTTGTAAGAAGCAGCATCACAGAACCAGACAACCGTAGCATGATGTTCTATCATACAGTTTCATAATATCTTATCCATGGGCTCTTCCTCACCACCCAGTGTGTAGTGTGCAGAATATAATCAACATTTCTTAGAACCAAGGATCTAGTTTCTAGACTGATAATAAAAGTGGAATTACTTTGTCTCTGTCTTTAAGTATCAAGTGTGGCAGTTTCAGTAGGAAAGTTCTCTTTGAGGCACTTCAAGTTACAGAAGCATCATTGATTTATAGACTATAGTTTCAAATGTACAGTTTTCAATGTGTTGCATTATTTGTAGGCAAGAATGCTTTTCAAATATTTTCTGGAAAAATGCATAGTCTCAGAGAAACACTACTAGGCTGCCATTACTTATAGAGATTCACACAAAACCCAAATGATAAATGTATTTCTATAGGTCACCTGTTCATTGAAGGCTTCCCTTCAGTCTTTTAACATCAACAGTGATAAATGTGAAAGTACCACAAATTGTGCTTACTGTTAAATTGGCATGACCAGTGAGCTGAACAACTTCACATCACATCCAGATAAATTACATTATACACTTCCACGTACACAATGAAAAACTTGATGAAAAAAATTCTGAAGTACTATTTGCTATTGCTTCTTAATGATCTCTTTCAAGGAATATCGAGCCCAGTATTGATGACAAAATTGTTTCCTGAGTATCCTAGACACAACTACATTAATCCAGGGGTCCTAATTCTTCCTGCAACATTGCTTTGTGAAGAGAATCCAATTACTTGTCATATGCTGTCATCCATTCATAATTGACATGCTCATCAAAATGAACTTGACTCCAAAAAAAGAAAACAATGAAATAATGCCAATCGTCATGTTTCTGGTTTCCACAGTAACAGCATATCGTTAACCCTAGCAGGTCTCATAAAACATTCAACGAACATACTCAGCAAATCATATTTTTGTTTAAAAAAAAAGCCACTTGCTATGTCTCATAATTTCCTCAGTGGACTGGAATACATCTGTAAGCACTTTCCACACACACATGGGATATCAAGTTTTTTCCAAATATAATAACCCAGGCTACCGAGTTTTCATCCAGGAGCTGAAGTGGCTCAGCTACAAGGTAGAGCATTTCACTGGAAACTTAACAGCTATCAAATCAGATCCATACTAAAACTGGTGAATTATTCATTTGTTGAAATGTGAGCATACTTCTTATCTTATTGATATTCCTACCAATCTATTGTATAAACTTGCCTTAGCATGTAGTCAACTGATGCCAATCAATAGGCAAAGAATGCTGAAAACAATGCTGCCTTATGCTTGGCGAACAAAGCATCAAACATTACGCAGACTTTTTAATGAACATGACAGAAAAAACATTGCTGTACATTCTCAAACTGTGTATTTACAACTGACCTATGCTGAAATATATTCATCAAATATTCTACAAAATGTCAATACAATGTGTAAGTATCATCCTATATAGTGACTTTAATATCTCAATGTCTTTTTGATACTACATGTTTAAACTATTATTCCACATTTGACTCATCAGCGTTTCCCTAAAATAACATTTTTTCTACTCAGTCTAGAAACTAAAGATCACATCTAACACACTGTCACATTTCTTCTTCACAAAAGCACAACATACTGTATTCCTATCAGTAGGAAGATCCACACACAACTTAGTCTATTATCATCAATTAACTTGTATTCAAAGCACAGAAACAACATAATAGCAGGATGTGTAGAAATCAATGCCCTGGTTTGCCCTAACTACAACCTATTAGACATAGCTGCTATGAAAAGGGAAAACACATTTGGTTCAATAATGCTCACAAATACTACTGGTCCATTTACCAAATGCTAAAATGTTTTTTCATTCCGGTGTAATGATAAGTGTAAAAATATACCACGTTTATGAAGATAACAGCAACAGGGTATAATTACTCTCACAAAGTAAATGCAAGGTTTCAATGGGCAGGTGTTTGTGTGCATGATTGTTTGTGCGTTTGTTTTAAATTGACTATTTGCCAGCAGAAAAGACGTAGTTCCGGGAAATAATTTTATCTAGCTCTTGCCGATGGTAACCCATAGTCAGCTATACTCTATGAGACAATACTGATCAATCTCAGGGCGCAGGTGCAGCACGATACATATCCATATGGACCAATCCAATTTCTTTTATCTTCAAGCCTCCGTTAGGCGTAACGTTTGCTATTGGTGCATTGAAACTTTGAAGTAAGGGGAAGCCATATTTCCATCGATCAACTACCAGGCGCTATAAGACCCCATTAATTAATCAATACTCGGTGCACCTCATTGTGCATTGCCGCTTACCTGAAGAATCTTCAAAGTCGGTCATTCCTGATTCAGAAAACAAACATAAGGACCAATGAAAATGGGAAAATACTGAATGATAATGTTTGGAATGTTGAAGTTTCACCCGCGTGTTTACATAGCTCTTTGGTATTTGGAGGTAAGAAGCAATTTAGTAATTGCCTTTCAGTTGAGACGGTGATTGTGCTTTACAACNTGAGCAAAATGGTTTAGGAGCGATTTCTCAGCTTTGAAGATTGATAACATAGTCTAAACTTCAATACCCATATCTCATTCTGTAACTGTCAGATTGACATGAAATTTGATGTGTCTCTGTTTCAGTATAATATCTAGTCGACTGAGTCTTGGTTTTTGGATTGACCTTTTATTTTTGAAGTTATTAATACTGAAATTGGAAGGTCCATATATATTTCGTAAAATTCACGTTTTATCAAAATAAAATAAAAAGCAAAAATAAAAAGAGAAAATCCTGACAGAGATCACTGGAGTTTGTGCTAACTTTTAGATAGCTATTTCAATCGTATTAATAGGGCTTTTTGTTTAAGAGAAATTCTTGATTAAAAAAAAGACAATTTTAGCCTCAAAACGCTGATATTACGTCACTCGTGTTACACTGTGACTACAAACTTTGAAAAATTGTTTGGCTTGCTAGATCTTATCTTTAAGTTAATAGGAAATTTCATTAGCTGCATTAGTTTTGGAGTTTTTCGTTAATATCCAAGATCCCTTAAGGATAAGCACACCTCCTCACATAACATTGTACAACACGATTTTAAGTTCTGAAGCAAAGATGTTTTAAAGCACTAATTGAGCACAGTGATTCCTGTTAAGTGGACATTGATGATATTTTTTCACATTTAAGTATTCGTCACATCCAAATTTAAATGACAAAAATAAATAAAAATCCCAAAAGTCAAACTTTATTCAGAAACAGTTTTAGGTAGAACATGCAATTTCTTACTATATATATTGACATGTAATTGCATTATAAGCAAAATATTAACCTTAATAAAAAACACTAAAATATTACAAAGTACAAAAAGTAAGTAATGAATTATTTTATCACATACTATTTTGGTAGAAGCTTTGATATAAATCATCACATTCAAATAATCTAAAAACACCAGTATAAAAAAAATTGTTGCACATATATGAACATTTACATTTTCATCTAATTTGCACAATCTGTCGTACAATTCATTAATTCTACTAAAATTCATCTTCATTCTAACAATTAATAACAGATACAGCAATGCTTTTACATATAACCACAAATGTATTGGCCATACATTTTAGATAACTGAATTTTTTCAGTGGTACTCCTTAAAAGCCATCATAACTGGAAGCTCAGAGGTGTGGAACTGCATCCTGAGCATGTACCTTGACAGTGGTAACCTATAGCCTAAACCCTATCTTTTCAATTTGTTCATTTATCTATACACTCTTTTATTAGGGTTTTCAATAAATTTGTATACTGGCATCCAATTTAAAAATGTAACGGTGTAAATAGATTTTTTAAAATTTTCTATTGGTTGTCAACTGTACCTGAGATTAATTGCCATGCTGTCCAGGTTTAGGCAAGGCCAAAAACATATCACAGATATCTTAAATAATTTCTCAGATACATGCATACAAAATACAATGACATTTGCAAGACTAGGTGTTGAAGCTCAAGGGTGACCTTCAAATAATACCCATAAAATTTAAGCTTACATGAGTTTATAGTTTCTGTGTACAATATCAGTGTGGTTGACACCAAAGCACCTTGACACTGTTCCTGCAAAAGCAGATGTGAAGTAAACAATTTTCAATTCACAGCACTGAAACATTTCAGTGCCAAAATACATTTACCCAATACTGTGTGATATCATAGAGAAAAAACACATTACTAAATAATTATAAATTCCACTTGATACAAACCATAAGTTCATCCTTACTTTCCGTGCCTGAAACATAATTCAGTTTAGACCTACAAGTATGCCATGTTTGTCCCAGTATCATTTGAAATAGATTGCAGTGATGACAAACATTGTATTTGGACCTGTATACCGACCGGATGGCCTTGTGGTTAGAGTGTCCGACTCCTAAGCGGGAGAACGTGGGTTCAAACCCGTCCGGGGACATGCCAGTCCTTTATAAACAGTACCTGCCGTCGCCCCGCTTGGCACTCAGCACTAAGGGGTTGAAGCATTGGTGAAATGATACGTTGGTTAGCTCAGAGCGCCTAATATGGCTGCCAGGCTGTATCCTCCCCAGGGAGGTGAGAGCGACTATAGAGTGCAACAGGGCCAAAAAATGACCAGCTTTATCAGATTTAAAATAAATTTCATTAAAAAAATTAATAAATATAAAGTATATGGCTTCATTCACATGCAATGTCTATTTTCTAAATTCTATTTTCTATTCGCGGTATGTCTTATGATCACGGTCTGTGCCCTGAATATCCCGCGGCGTAATTACTGAAACATTTCAGTGCCAAATATCCCGCGGCGTAATTACGTAGGCGGGATATTCAGAGCACAGACCGTGATCATAAGATAGCGCGAGTAGAAAATAGACATTCCATGTGAATGAAGCCTATATATATATATATATGTATAACTTCAACCTTCGGGTTGCAATATCTCAATAAAGATTATTATTATTATTACACGACTCCTGTCTGGCAACTAATTCTTAAACATGTAGAACTCTTTGGTCTTTCTCAAAGTCCACAGTATCACAGCCTGCCTCTATCAGTAAGTCATTGATTGCCACTTGGTCTGCCGAGTTACCATCAAGGTGTGAAAAGTGTACAGTTGAACCTTAAAATAAAAAGAAAGACACAAAGCTAAATACAAATTTACATCTGAATATAAAAGTGACATAAACTGTCATTGAAGAGAAATGATAACTGACAACAGAAAATGACAAAATTCTCTTGCATTTCAAAATGAAGATACAAACAAACATAAACATAAATGTGCATAATACACATACACAAGATTTAAACCTATCATATGAAGAGCATAGCAGAGTTTTATATCTCACTGAAAAATAAATTTACTTTAATTCTCAACATCATTCCAAAACAGTGCAAGCTTCAAACATTTCCTGGGACATTTTTGAAGAGTTGCAGATATTATCAAACCGCTTACCTGGCCCGAGGATGAATGTGGCTCCCATCTGACTGGGATCCCCCTGCCATTCATTGGGAAATTGCATAGCACGCCATGTGCTCTTTAGTATTCCACTTAAAGCATTAGACTTGATATGTTTGTTTACCACTAGAATGCAACAAATGACACAATGGTACAAATATATACATATAATACTGTTTTCAGTATGTTTCCATCAACGATTTACCAGAAAGATTGCCAAGACCTTGGAAAACTAATCTTTATTTTACCAACACAAAAATAGGACAAAACTACCAAGAGGAGGTGGCACATTATTGTTATGAATCAACTTATTTGTAAAACCAGATAATATGAGATAATATCGTTTATATCTTTTTTCAACTAAAATATTGAAATAAATCTCTTCAGTGGAATCCTACCCTTTCTGGTATGATTGGCTTCGCACTTGCATTTGAGACACTTGTAAATGTTCCTATCTGGATCACAATACATGTCATACTGGTAACCTGTTTCTTGTTTGAAATGCTACAAAGCAATAAAGGCATTAAAATGTAATTGATTATATTTACTTTTATCCTCACTCTTACCTGTATTTTTTTCAAGATATAGCATTTTTAGTCACTCACAAAAATATATTTACTTTTTGCTATCAATCAAATTCACTTTGCAAAAGATCTAGTCAACGTTTTCATGTTCTACTAGCTAAAATTGTTTTGAATAATGTTATTTATTTGTTTGAATTTAATAAGTAATTCCCACATTGGACTAAACAGGCAGATGTGAAAATCCACAAATTTATCAAAGGTAAGCATAGCATGTCTTCCAATATGCTCTCATCTTAAAAAGTTCTGTTCAATGTAAAATTTGTTAAGAAGTCTATTCTGTGCTGCATAATCATAATTTCTACACAAAGGTAAACTCAAACCGACTAGCCATAGTATGCGCATGTGTATGAAGATACAATTTGCCACTCACCTTGATAAATTTCCATGGTGCACATCCTATTACCACAAGTTTGACATTCTTATCCTGTTGAAACAAACAACGATTAATTTGCTGGCAAGTGTATTCAGTTTTTTCTTTTTTCTTTTATTAGAAACCCAAGATTAAATTGTTTTCTAATTTAAAAAAATACAGAATTTATGTCAAGTCAAAGTAACTTGCATCTCATGTTGATAGTGATCTCTCTGAGGCCATTCAGAACAGATGATCATCAGACAAACTGATCTAACGACTAAACATGGCCGACTGAACTTCAAAGCAGCACCACTTAATCCCCTGATGGTCTCCCCGCCTCCACACGCGCCATTAAACAGATTAAATCTCATTTCCGAGGTTTAATTGCAAGGCCCCTGCAGCAATGGCACATGTGGAGGAGGGGAGACCATCAAGGAATTAGTTGGCACTGCCTTTAATGTGAGTCAGCCATATTTAGTCCGCAGATCCGTTAGTCTGCAGATCAACCCGTTTTGAAGAGGCTCTATGAAGCACTAAATATGTCCACATCAACTCTAATCTAAGTTAAACAAATTGGACTGTAGTTTTGTCTTCAACCTACCTTTAAAGTATTCAGGGGTATCTTGGCTAAGTCTGAAAAAAAAAAAAAAACAATAGTAATAAATGTTATAAAGACTTTTTTGTGGGTCTAGTATATCACCTGAGATCAGTGAAAGCACACAATTGGACTGCTAAACTATACATCATATAATACAATCAGGTGAATACATAGAGACACTTATCAGAGACTTTTATTAAAAGTTTTAAATTGTATACAAGTAATTCTGTTGTCTGGTGTTATCAAATGTTGACTTTCTGTCTGGGTTAGTTGCTTGCAATTGCATTTATGAGCTTTCTTGATTAAACTATATAACATATGACTCGTAGAGAAGGCCTCTTTTCATGAATAAGCTAAGTTGTAAGTATCTCTGGGCTTACTACAGTATTATAATTTTTAAAAAAATCCTACAGGTAATCAAATCAGTTTCAGGTAAACAGATAAAATATTTAACTACAAGGGGTGCTTACCTTCCACATATTCTTTGCACATGTAACACAAAAAGTGCTGAAATGGAGAGGTATTTTGTATCATTAATTGAAAAAACTCTGGGTGCATAGGATTTCTGGGTTAGCCAAATAAAAAGAGAAATTAATTTCTGTCCTGAACATGACACACTTATAAATTTATAGTTATAAAATACTGACTGTTGGTCTTATGTAGAATTATAAAGGTCATACTAGGTGGTCTCACATTTTAGATTCATCAAATGATTAAGCTGGCAGCCAAAGCATTCTATCAATATTAACCTGCATATCTGCTCTTAGTTACCATTCCCATAGGCCATAAACTTACAACAGAGTTTCATAAAATATGAAAAAGACCACCCAGTATATTTGAAATAAAACAAAAAAATAATATGGTTTTGTTATCATAGAGTGAGCTAGCTGAGGGTGACAACGGATATTGTTGCATAGCGAAGGGGATGGAGACCAGTGGCGGTGATGACAGGGATACAGACAATGGAAATAATATACATGGAAAAATTACATAAATAGCATGCACAAACAAAGTATATTAGATAGGCATAATTATCAACATAAAACAATACAAAACTATCTCAATTCCATAAAGGTAGAAATATTACCTCCAAAAATAAATAATTTACAGGGGTTTAAGGCCCTGCATTCAGGACTAGCTATTGGGTAAGGATTAAGTAAGGTCACTTTATTGCAGTATGATAGTGTACTAGTATCCCCCCC